TTTTATTTATATTAAAGAAATTTCTTGGTATTCCTAAACGGAAGATTTTATACACACAGAAGAAGTATACTTAATAACACAATTATTTTCATTTACCTGTGTATTATATGACGCAGGTTTTTCAAAAGTGATGATTTTCTTAATATTGTTTTAACATTTCACAGTGGTATCATACATTAATTTTGTTTAAACCTGTTTATTTACTTTTGACCTTAATTATTTATCCCTTATAATTTTTATTAACTATGTATTTGCATTCAGGTATCACAGATCAAATTTATTCGTTCATTGTGTGTTAATTTACGTTTTTTGATTGAGTTAAGCCTTCCAATTGATATTTTATAGTGTGTCTTTCTATGTTGTGATGTTATACTATTGTTTCAGAAAAGGGAGAAGGTTTGGTACCATTAAAACGTTTAATCCCGCTGCAAATGTTTGCTCCTGTCCTAAGTCAGGAATCTGATGTACAGTAGTTGTCGTCTGTTTATGTAGTTCATACGTGTTTCTCGTTTCTCGTTTTTATATAGATTAGACCGTTGGTTTTCCCGTTTGAATGGTTTTACACTAGTAATTTTTGGTGCCCTTTATAGCTTGCTGTTCGGTGTGAGCCAATGCTCCGTGCTGAAGGCCGTACCTTGACCTATAATGGTTTACTTTTATAAATTGTTACTTGGATGGAGATTCGTCTCATTGGCACTCATACCACATCTTCCTATATCTATATATGTATACATGTAAATGATTAGGATGTTATATGCAAACTGTTTCTGTGTCTCTTACCAAGAAATATTAATATTCACAGGATGTGGTTTCCGGGTCAGAAAGAGGTGGAAGATGTTGTACCATATAGCTGGGTCCAATATAATGTTGAGATGACCACCAGGTGTACAGGCAAAAAAATATGAAATTTGTGACAAAACCAGCAAATGGCTTGTAAAGTTTTTAGCTGGTTAAAATTAAATGTAAATCTGGTATGTTTTACAAACATATATCTTCATGTTTTAAAGTTTCATTTACATGTACATGTATGTTTGCAAGGAATAAACTCATTCAGAGTGTTAGTGTGTCTCTTGATATGATTTTCCTGATTAAAAGAAATCTGACATACATGTACATTGTATCTCGATATATTTGTCCATTGCAGAGTTTACATATTGAATATATTGTTAAACTTTTAAATATTTATTAATTATCTGTTAATATATATTCTATTAGATTTGTAGTTGTATAAAAAAAAATGAAATTTTGCTCTTCTTGCTAAAAAATGTAAGTGTTACTATTTATTTCATTTATTTCGCATACATATTTAAAAAAACAGCATTCAATTCTTAAAGTTACAGATCTCGGAAATCAAATACATAATTTGTCTAATATTAATGTCTTTAACTTGAAAGAAAATAAGTATAAAACTTCAGTACGCATTAATCATTGCTAGATATGAAATTAGCCTTGTGGCACATGCAATCATTTTAACAAATTAAGGGTCAACATTTGCATAATGAAGATGTTTATTTCAATGAAATCCTTGTGTAAAAGAAGTACAGACTAATTTGCCAGGCGGAGCTTATAATTTTGTAATCTTTGGTTGCTATTCTTATGACCATGCATGGTTTCATTGATACGAAATGGATGTATAATAATAAGCCTAAAATTCTTGTTTCAACCAAATGATAGAAAATTCAGCATTTGTATGAATGGAACACCTACTGAAAATCTTTGAGTCTGAACAACCTACATGTATGAACTAGTGTACCTGTATAGCTAAGTGCTAATTACTTTTAAGTGGAACAACTACTGTAAAGTTTGAGTCTGAACAACCTACATGTATGCACTAGTGTACCTGTATAGCTAAGTGCTATTCACTTTTTGCATTGTCTCAACTTATCTTACAGGGAACGTACTATCGCATTGTTAAAATATTATCTCTACACATTTTCATACTTTATAGTAGTTTTTTTTCAGCAAGTAAAGATGAATGTGAATCGTATGATTTGACCTTAACAGCAGAAAGCTGCATTGAAGACAAGAATGACAAGATTGAAGCACCTTATTAAAGAAAGCAAACTAAAGGAGGTTCAAAGATTTTGTGAAAGGTAAAAAAAGACATTTTATTAACAGTTAGATAAGTTTTTTCCTAAGAATTATTTTAAAGGATTGGGGATTGACTGAAAAGATTGTGGTCTTGTATTTTGAATGATTGGCTGATATAGTGTAATCTGGAATTTCAAATATTAAAGGATGAGACTGAAATAAATAAAATTGGACACCTTTTTGTCATTACTTATATGTGAACTAGATTCAGCTATTAAGCAGAGATAATTCAGAATATACTATAATTTATAACAAATATTTTAAAAGAAAATTTGAGTTTATTAAACGTGCTAAAAGAGATACATGTAATTTAATTACACACATAGTTGCAAACTTTAGAATATACATTCTTCTATTTTAAGACATGCACTCAAAAAAAAAATTTACTTAAAATTACTAAAAATAAAAAAAATTATTACTTATTTCAAGTAATATTTTAGTAAAAAAGTTTGTCACACCAGTGATCACATTAAGTAATAACAAATAATTCTAAGTAATTTTAAGTAAATCATAATTACTTATAGCGATTACTTGTGTTATCAATTACTGAGTAAAAGTAAATGAATCAATCAGTAAAAGCATTACTAAGTAATTGAATATTTAAGTAAGATTTTTACTAATAAAACATGGTAATTCATTTACTAAGTAAATGTTTCTGTGGTAAAAATTACAAACAGTTTTTTACTTAGTAAAATTAATTGTCACACTAGTGATCATGGTGATCGAGATAAGTAAATTATAGTAATTTTAAGTAATTTGTTTACTTATTTTAAGTAAATAGTTTAGTAATTGAAAGTAATTATTTTAGTAATTTTAAGTAATCAGTTAATAATAAGTAATTCTAAGTAATAAATTTACTTTTCTTTTACTTAGAAATATCATTACTAAGAACTGAAATTAGGTAATTTATTTTATTACTGAATCTTTTACTTAGTATTATCAAGTAATTAATTGATTGAGATTACTTATCTTCATCAATGTTTATCAGTAGTATAAATAACTTACTAATTCAATTGCTAAAATATAAATATGAAAAAGGACACAATAAATATACATGTATATGTAATACATGAAGTAAGACACTTTTTGAAAATTGAAATAATTTACAACTAGAACACAAACATATTTCCAATCTTTTTATTTAAGCTACTATTTTTTACAAGTTTCAAACAGTTTTTAATAAAACACTCAAGTATTCACTTTTCTACAATAAATGGACTCATTCAAAATGATGACATGCAGATTAATATAATACAAAAACATTATAATTGAGAAGGATTTTACTTTAAAGGACAAAATTATCAACTTATTTCTGCCTATATATGTTGTATTTACCATGTGCATGGATGAACTAGTCTGCATTTTATTAAACTATATTTCATATTTATAAATTAGCAGTGAATAAAAATTTAGTTTACAATTCTATGCCCATCTATAGATAGTCATCAACTTATTTATATCTTTTATAGCCTGTCATTATAGCAATGAATGCTATCAAGGATTAACAGTAAAAAATAATTTCATGGAAACCTGTGATTTGTGAAATCTAAATGACAAAACCACAAAAATGTAAAACATGTGTACATATATAAATAAATTTCAAAATTTCAGTTTCAATCAAATTTCAAAGTCAATAAGTATGCATGCATGTATAATTTGACTGTGATAATACATGATCAATACAAGCTAGTATATACACCTAAAGATACCATTCAAAAAGTACATGGTCCCATTGAAATTTACCATGCTATACATTTGTATACTATATACAAGCACAAGACTCATATCTTATGACAATATCTTTTTCAACAAGAAAAATCAAAACAACAGTATATGTTAAAAGATTTGCACATGTTACTATACTATCACCTACATGCATGCAAACATGACATATACTTTTTACTTATTTTCCCAAGAAAGAACTGCAGCATGGAAATTTCTATGTAAAAAATTTGAAGGAGGAAGACTAATTGATGTGAACTGAATTTGTTAAAAAAAAAAACCAAAATGTATTCTATAAAATAAACTTTAAAGAACTGAAATAAAGGCATAAATACATGAAATATGAAGCACAAATCATTTGTTTATTTTTATCTCTCACTTAAAAAAATATACCTCTTTTCTTTTCTTTAAAACAAAGACACTTGCTCTCACAATATTATTTTTGAGAAGAAAAAAAAAATCTCTCATCGCTCCTCTTTATCAAGAGTAGGTGTCTGAAAATCAAAGAATGTATTTGGTATAGCCCTTGAAAATACTCTTTGTATCTTGTACATAAAACCCTTGCCTAATCAAATTGCAACTCAATGCAACATTTAAAATATGTTCATAATACTAAGTCAACACAAAAGGTTGCAACCTAACATTATACAAAAACAAGAATGTTTCCAAATTATCCACAGATGCCACATCAGCACTATCAATTTCTATGTTCAGTGAAAATGTGGTAAAACTCTAATTTGCCATTAAAATTAGAAAGATCATATCATATACTGTAAATTCAGAAATTTGTGCGTGCATTTTTGTGATTTTTGAAGGATGGACTAAAATGCAAGATTAATTATTGCGATTTTAGGAAAATCTGCATACAGATATAAGTATAAGATATCAGAATGCGAGTTCTTATATTATTGCGATCTTCATCCACTCGCATTATTCGCATTAATAAAAACCTCACAATAATTTCTGAATTTACAGTATAGGGAACATGTGTACTAAGTTTTAAGTTGATTGGACTTCAACTTTATCAAAAACTACCTCAACTAAAACTTTAACCTGAAGCGGGACAGCTATAACAGTCAGACACATAGACCAGAAAACATAATGCCCATAAATGGGCATAAACAAAAATAACAAATGATATTTGCAACTTATAAAATATAGATTCACTATCAAATAAAACCATTCTAATACAGGTAAAACTATGATTAAATTTTACATATGTTTATAACATACAGAATAAAATCTGATTGTAAATGCTATCTATTTAAATTTACTTTGATATAAGGTTATATGGTGGTTTGCAGCCTAAAAGGAGGTCATTTTGATATATAAAATTGGGTCTTGTCTAAAATAAGTACAAATGCAGATGCATTTTCACAAGCCAATGCCAAAAGTACATTGTATTATTAATTGTTACTTTTGCCCAGCACTTTTTTAAATCTGGATATTATTTTTAGTATGTTATAAATAAAAATAATAATTTGGGTCAAATCTATTTACATGAATTTAACAGCTCATGTATAGTAGTAATAAAAAATATATATTTTTACATGCTTCAAGCAGAAAAGAAAATGAAAAATTGAATTATGTTGCATAAAAGTAAGTTATTTGGATGAATAACATTTACAGACCTGCTTAATTGTTAATTTAAGAATTATATTTTCAAGATCACAAATGCAACAGATTATTTGGAGATTTTAATTTTAATAACGCAAAAGACAGTGTGTTACTATTTCTGTATCTTAAATATTATAAACTAATCAATAAATCTGTTATCCCAAAATATGAAAAATTATGTGGTACACCTACAAATAAAACAAGTCAGTCTCATAGTTAAACATCAATGTTGATTTCATGCAAATAAATCAACTTCTTTCAAAACGAAGTTTTCGAAAATTTCCTTTGCCTTGTTAAATACACTTTTGTCTTTGCTGTGAACTTCATCCAGCAGGACTTGTCCTTGTATGTACAGCAGAGCCGCGCTGCAATTTGAAGGGTATGGCAACATTGCCATGTAATATATACCCATCAATGCCAGCACTGCATTAACTGCTGATGAGGCCTTTTTAATCATAGACTGTTTAATCATAACGGTTATGATTTCTTGGTCGCCATGTCGTTGGTACATTATCCATGGTGATGTGGAGTTCTATTGCTTAGCAGCTATTTCTTGCCACATCTCGTCTTTCTGGAAAAGAAAGTGTAAATTATTCTTCAGTCATCTTTCGTAAGAACTGAATGATAATTTGGTACAGAAATTCTTATCAGTTTCAAAATATCAATGAAAGTTGAGTTAAAGTTTTAAAGGATTGTATGTATACTTTTTAAATCACCTCGCACTTTCATGACTGGACTCTAGTATACTTCAACAGATTGTTATATCTTCTGACCAGTTCAATGTACAGTTTGGTTTGATACAACAAATTGCAATAAGGGCAATTTTTTTTTAATAAACTGCATTACCTGGAGAGCAACACTTACAACCAAGTCACAGTAACATAAAATATTCAAACTATCTAATTAAGACATGCAGGTTCAAAAATAATAATAACATTGCAAAATGTTTTGTATTGTTATCATTGAATCATAATATAAGCATAAGGTTTGATGTTCTTTGGTCATTCAAATGAAATGTTTTCTAACAAATATGAATTTTGTAACTAGATGCCTTTAAGAGTGTGTGCCCTTCAAGTTCTGCAAAATACACTCACTCTAGCAGGAAATAAAAACTAAACAATGAACAAATAAAATATACAAATTCTGTATAAACCTTTACAATGTGTACTAGTTGTGGTACTGGCACACTTTTCCCCTTTTCTCTCTTGTCGAGAATTAAAGGCAGTTGGGCCATTGCCACAAGTATTTGCTGATCTATACAAACAAACAAAAAACGAGTATAAACATCATACATGTGATTTTTTTTATCAGTAACGTTTGTATGAGTCAGCTCCCAACCTCCAGATCTTTTTTTGTGTTATTGAAGTGAAACCAGAAATACATATGTATTTTTATTTTGCTTAAGCATTTAAATGCAATGACTTTCCATAGCATAACAATTATCATGACTATTCACCTGACAAACACAAGGGTGCGTGCACACACAAGCATGTGGTGCTTTAAAACTGAAGTACGCTGAAAGTGAAGATTTTTGTGTCAAAATATGAATTGATACGTAATTTTGGGCAGGTCTAAAAACTGAAAATTAACCAAAAGCTGTGCATTTTTTCACTTAAATGATTGAAGGTTCTTATTCATGCATGTCTTAGCTCTATATCTATTGTGATGAATAACCTAATCTACAAAATACATAATAAAAGTCTTGAATTAGATGTTCTAATTAAAAATTGTTTAAAAAAAAGAAGTACAAAATGGTTCTAAATTGAACCCATCTTTTATTATTTAATAAAGATATATAATACCTTCTGATTTCAGTGCTGATCTAGGAACAGTGGTGAGGTTTTTTGAATACACCAAGTCCAATATCTCTGTAGACATTCTTTTCAAATTTTTTTCAAGGAGTTTATGAGAAATTATATTTTCCTCCAAATTGATGGTTGCAAGAAGGTTGGTGATGAGCTACAAAGAAATTAAATAACAAAATAATGTAATTTATATCGTTTAAATATAGGAACACATGCAACATTATTTAAATAAAAACAAAGGTGCAATCAGCACTGACCTGGGGTACTTCTTGTACAAGTCATTTTCATTTAATTGAAGAAGTAAATAATATATTTATCTCAGTAAATTTGTCTCATAAGGTTTGAATAACCTCCCCTTAATCTGCTCCTAAAAATTACTTGTAAAAGTATACATATTTTTTTTACAATCCTTAAAATTCTCAAGTTTTTGAATGTAAACAAATGCCTAAGACAATTTTTCACTATAGTTAGCTCATAATTTTTATTTCAGCTTTATGTTTCATCTCATTAATTCAACAAAAAAAACCATTGTGCAAAGATCTTAAGTAATTTAATTGTATAAGGAAGGTGTAAATGGTTTAACATTAAATTGTTTGACCACTGTGTTTTATTATTTAATTATCATATTAAAGCAATCCTATAATAGATGTATGGTGTATTATATATGTGTATTCTGATATTACTCGAGTTGTAATAATTTGTAGTGCTATTTCAAATTGAAATTATAGATAGAAATACAGAAAACTTACTATGTCAGTACTCTTAAATACTGGATATGTCCCTATCATATCCTCTACTCTACTATGCTTTGGTAAAGTTGTGGCATAAGAGCATCTATATTCTACTGTCAATCTAAGAAGTTGCTCAACTTTTTTCTCTGTTGTTTTTTGAGAACATCTCCTGAGTTCTTTGTCAAGAGACTTGGCACTTCTATCTTCTGTAATATCAAAATTGCAATGAAATATCAGAGTTCGCGAAAACGTTTTTTGATCCGTTGGTTATATTTGTTATCTAATCGCCCATTGTTTGGGCTTCATGAGCAAATCTATCAGGCCACGTGTAGATCGCCACTTTGGTTTCAGTTTGTTTATAATAAGAAACCAGTACCGGAAAATTAGCAGCAGGTACATCTGATGACCGATAGAAACACGTACTGGAATTAGTTGCAGTAAAACTAATTACCGATAAAAAGGAACTGCAACAGCCATTTTTACATCGGTCATCAGGACCGGCACTAGCTTCCTAAATACTGGTCCGAGCCTCATTTTGACCAACAGGACCAACCATTTTCGCGAACTCTGAAATATTTTGAAAAGAGAGTATATATTTTTCTTAAATCAACTTGTATATGTCATGAGTTCTCTGGTAGAGTTTTATCATTGGCAATCATACCATATATTCTTATATTTATATAACAGCATGAATAAATGCAAAAATAAATATGGTCAGATGGTTGAGACTGCAGATGTTGTTGGCTAGTTTATATCAGTATCATGTTTTGAAAAAACATTAGACTGCAAAGTTCTATGCAAGGTCAAACATTGATACTTTAGTTCTTACCTAATTTCTCCTGTTCTGGAACCTTTTCAATTTTCCCCCTCTTGTCCCATCATCAAGCTCTATTTCTGATTCTTCCGGTATTTTATCAGGTTTTCTTAAGAGCTCCTTATTTTCAGCTCTTGTTTTTACACCTTTCTTCGACGTATCTGTTGTTTTCAAGACTCTGTCCTCTGTAATTATTTCCTCAGTCATGTCAGTACTATATGCTCCTGTGGGAATAATGATGGCATCATTGTGCGCACTTTCTGCCACTTCCAGTGGTACTTCAGCTGTTTCTTGGTTTGAAGTATCTACCTCTTCTTCCGTCGTTTCTGTCAGTTTTAAAGGCAAACTTTTTTCTTTTGTCAACCCTTGATCCTTTTGATGTACATGTTCTTAAATTAAAAATATAAATATTTAAAAAACTGTTATCATAATGATATGTCTAGCCTTTTTGTAATTCTGAGTATGCAAATGTTGAAATTAAAAATGCATGCGATACTTTAACATGTGACATAAGTTGTGCAAATATTCAATTTGAATAGTCAATGAACAATGACTGACAGTACATGGCTAAATAATCTCCATGTAAATGAGATGTGCTGATTCCAATACAACTGCATACCAAATACCATTGACATAGAAGTTGTTCTCTTTAAACAAACCTAAACACAAACATATAGTAACTATGTAAAAGTTTCAAAGTCAATGACCCAGGAAGAGGAAGTGGGGCTTATTATAAACTCCATGGAAACCATACTTGTAAATGCCAATGAATATGCATACTAAATATAATTGACTTAGCATTAGCAGTTCATCTTAAACTGATTTAATTACAAACATATGTTTGTAAACTTAATAAACCATTACTGCATGAGGGGGGCATACTGATAACATATATATATATACCATTATTTTCATTATTTTTTCTTTTCCTTCCCCTGTTGGTCCTTGCAGGAGTGATGTTGTACATCCTCCTCTCCAAGAATTTTTTAACAGCACGCTGAAAAATAATGTGAAATTCTTTTAAAATGCCAAAAAAGTAAAATTTATATTTGAGTTGACATCTGTAATAAGAATGGTTCAATGTATTCTTCACAAAGTGAACAAAAAAAAAACAACTTTACAACTACAGATTGCGGAATTCTAAATTTTAAGTACATGTACATGTTTTTATGCATATCATTGTACTTAAGTTTTTTCTTTGACTGTTAATTAATTAAAACATTCAACTTAATAGGAGTGTGGATATTTCTGATTTGATGTGGGCACTTGTCTAAATTGGTTAACTTAACTGTTAATTTTACTAGAAGAAAGTTCTTGGTTCTGAATTTGCAAATGATTCCTCAATAAAGAATGTAACAGTTAACTTTTTTGAAATGTAACAAAAATGGCATTTATGTTATTTAGTTTGCTGATGAATTTCCACAGCCCTGTAAATATATCAGTATTAACAGGGAATCAGTCTGTCATTTCAACATGCAATGCTAATTAAATTTAACATTAATTGTTTGTGTCCCCATACGAAAGATAAATTAAATATTTAAGAAGAAATCATAAGATAATTACCATTATAAACAATTAATTGCCTACATTAGTCTTCACCTTTTTTTTTCATTTGTTAAAAAATAAATTTACCCAATACTGGGGAGTTTAACTAACCCGGTAGAGTTTGAGGAAACCAACAATCTTTTTTACTTGGCCTAAAGTTCTGTTAATAAAAAAAATTCATAAGAGTTCCGCAGAACCCAGTGTCTCGCCAACTTTTGATGTTAATCACAGGCTCAACAAAAATGAAAACAAAAAAATATTCCTCTCTATACTATCTTTTGATTGTAAGTAGCTTCTGTCCAAGTTTGGTAAAAATCCAGGATAGTTTATGAATCTAATAAATGTTTTAAAAACTTAAACTGCAGACTGTATGTAATGTTAACTGGAAGAAAAACTAAGTTCATTTATAAGTAAAATACGGAAAAAATGTAACAAAATTTAAAAAAAATTTCCTTCTAGATACTAGCTTTTAATCATAAACAAGCTTCTGTCCAAGTTTGGTACAAATCCAAGATAGTTTAAGAAAGTTCTTAAAATTTCTAAAACTTTAACCACAGAGTGAATGTAATGTTTCCTGGCAGAAAAACTAAGTCCATTTATAAGTAAAATACGCAAAAATAGAATTTTTTTTTTTATAAAATTTACTTTTGAATATTATCTTATGATCATAAACAAGCTTCTGTCCAAGTTTGGTAGAAATCCAGGATAGTTTAAGAAAGTTATTAAAATTTCAAAAACTTTAACCACAGAGTGAATATTTGTGGACGCCGCCGCCGACGACGACATGTAGGATCGCTATGTCTCGCTTTTTCGACAAAAGTCGAAGGCTTGACAAAAAACATGCCTATTTTTGTTAGTGTTAGTGTTAAATTTGTAGTTTGGAAAAACAAATTAAATGACAAAGTTATCAACAGTATGTGCCATGGATGCAGACAAAGTTAAGACAATATGTTAACATAGAAAATTTCAACATGTATCAATCCTGAATCATTAATGCCCTGTTAAACATTGTTGTATGTATGGATTAAGTGAAATTGGCCATGTTACTAATATAATTTACATGTAATGTACATGTACTTCAGTTTCAGAAGACTTAGAGAGTCACCTCACAATACATGCACTACATCTTTGAAAATAAAAATAACTATTCAAATTATGTAATAAATATAAGCTATCAAATCATGAAACTGTAAAATCATTATATAATTGTATTTCATGTCTGAGACTTCCGTTAAACAATGGACAAGCATCAAATGATCTTATATTTAGCTATGATGTATTTATGTTATTTAGTTTGCTGATGAATTTCCACAGCCCTGTAAATATATCAGTATTAACAGGGAATCAGTCTGTCATTTCAACATGCAATGCTAATTAAATTTAACATTAATTGTTTGTGTCCCCATACGAAAGATAAATTAAATATTTAAGAAGAAATCATAAGATAATTACCATTATAAACAATTAATTGCCTACATTAGTCTTCACCTTTTTTTTTCATTTGTTAAAAAATAAATTTACCCAATACTGGGGAGTTTAACTAACCCGGTAGAGTTTGAGGAAACCAACAATCTTTTTTACTTGGCCTAAAGTTCTGTTAATAAAAAAAATTCATAAGAGTTCCGCAGAACCCAGTGTCTCGCCAACTTTTGATGTTAATCACAGGCTCAACAAAAATGAAAACAAAAAAATATTCCTCTCTATACTATCTTTTGATTGTAAGTAGCTTCTGTCCAAGTTTGGTAAAAATCCAGGATAGTTTATGAATCTAATAAATGTTTTAAAAACTTAAACTGCAGACTGTATGTAATGTTAACTGGAAGAAAAACTAAGTTCATTTATAAGTAAAATACGGAAAAAATGTAACAAAATTTAAAAAAAATTTCCTTCTAGATACTAGCTTTTAATCATAAACAAGCTTCTGTCCAAGTTTGGTACAAATCCAAGATAGTTTAAGAAAGTTCTTAAAATTTCTAAAACTTTAACCACAGAGTGAATGTAATGTTTCCTGGCAGAAAAACTAAGTCCATTTATAAGTAAAATACGCAAAAATAGAATTTTTTTTTTTATAAAATTTACTTTTGAATATTATCTTATGATCATAAACAAGCTTCTGTCCAAGTTTGGTAGAAATCCAGGATAGTTTAAGAAAGTTATTAAAATTTCAAAAACTTTAACCACAGAGTGAATATTTGTGGACGCCGCCGCCGACGACGACATGTAGGATCGCTATGTCTCGCTTTTTCGACAAAAGTCGAAGGCTTGACAAAAAACATGCCTATTTTTGTTAGTGTTAGTGTTAAATTTGTAGTTTGGAAAAACAAATTAAATGACAAAGTTATCAACAGTATGTGCCATGGATGCAGACAAAGTTAAGACAATATGTTAACATAGAAAATTTCAACATGTATCAATCCTGAATCATTAATGCCCTGTTAAACATTGTTGTATGTATGGATTAAGTGAAATTGGCCATGTTACTAATATAATTTACATGTAATGTACATGTACTTCAGTTTCAGAAGACTTAGAGAGTCACCTCACAATACATGCACTACATCTTTGAAAATAAAAATAACTATTCAAATTATGTAATAAATATAAGCTATCAAATCATGAAACTGTAAAATCATTATATAATTGTATTTCATGTCTGAGACTTCCGTTAAACAATGGACAAGCATCAAATGATCTTATATTTAGCTATGATGTATTTAGATTTTTTTTGTTAATATACAAAGTTGCACACCCAAGTTAACAATACATAATCCATTCTTCGCTCACAAGGACC